TAAAATACAAAACCTGTAATATTAAAAAGCAGAAAAAAAAACAGCAGCAGCAGCAGCAGCAGCAGCAGCAACAAACTGCAGCGCAGACACAACGATAGCTGCTGCGGCAGGGGGGAGAGCAGCAGCAGCAGCAGCAGCAGCAGCACAGGTCAGGGGCTGTTGCTCAGCAGCAAAAGAAGAGATAAGGAGCATAAACAAAATAAAAAGGGTTTAATAACCCTTTTATTTATAAATTATATTTATTTATTTCATAAAAAAAGAAACACAGTAAAAATAACACACATATACACACCCCCTGCTGCAGCGGTCCGGTGCAGCAGGCGGTCGGCGGTGGGCAGCAGAGACGGAGTGACCCGCCTTGCTGCTGCTGCTGCTGCTGCTGCTGCTGCTGCTGCTGCTGCTGTTGCTGCTGCTGCTGCTAAGTTTCTATAAAGCCTATTGAAATTCTCAACCAGAAAAAACTAACAACTGCTGCTGCAGCTCCTCAGCACGCTAACACAGCCAAGCCTACCCTCGGTTTGCTGTCTGCTGCTGCTGCTGCTGCTGCTGCTGCTGCTGCTAGCAGCAGCAGCAGCAGCAGCAGCAACACTCCTTCGACCCCTGCAGCGCAAGTCTTTTGAAATTAAATATTAACAATGAATTTATAGTGCTCCCGTTCCACCTGTGAATCGCTTGGAAGCTGCTGCTGCTGCTGCTGCTGCTGTTGCTGCTGCTGTTGCTGCTGCTGCTGTTCGGGCTGCTGCTGCTGCTGCTGCTGCTGTGCTTGCAGCGCCTGTCAGCACTGAAACCATTGGCTGTGCCCCTCCCCCCTTCATATCCAAAACAACGGAGGCGAAAGCTCACTGTGGGGTCGGCAGCAGCAGCAGCAGCAGCAAGTGCAGCAGCAGCAGCAGCAGCAAGTGCAGCAGCAAGTGCAGCAGCAGCAAGTGCAGCAGCAGCTAGGGCAACAGAAGTAACCGCAGCAGCAAAGAGTACAGCAGTAGCAGCAATAGGAGCGCCAGTTGGCACTGTGCTGCCTGCATCCAGGCCATTCAGCTGCAGCAGCAGCAGCAACAGCTGCAGCAGCAGCAGCAGCAGCAGCAACAGCAGAGAAGACCGACTGGAGCAGCAATAGAAGAACAGACAGAAGGAGGCAGCCACCCACATACCCAAAAAAACGAATACAAAAACAAAAACAAAACAAACAAAAAACAAACAAAAAACAAACAAAAAAAAAGAAACAAACAAATAAACAAAGAACAGAGACAAAAGAAAGAGAACGCCAACACAGAAAAACAAATTCATATTGTCT